GTGGATATATATAAATAGTGACTTTTGCAAGAACATGAGTGTTTTAGTTTCAGAATTTCACAAAGTAGTAGAATCAACATTAAATAAAATAATCATGAGATTAACATGAGCATTAAATTTAACAGCTTATACAACTACGGAGTTCAGTGATATTCATAAAGAAGCTCCAAAGTGTGACACTCATCTGAGTCTTTTTTACTTATTATTATTATGATTTTACAGACAGGGACTTGCTCTACCACCCAGAATAGAGTGTAGTGGTGGGAATAGCTCACTGCAGCCTTGAACTCCTGGGCTCAAGCAATGCTTCTGCCTCAGCCTCAAGAGTAGCTAGGACCACAGATGCATATCACCATGTCTGGCTAATTTTCTTTCAAATTTTTTTGTAGAGATGGATTCTCACTATGTTGCCCAAGGTGGTCTCAAATTTTTGGCCTCAAGTGATTCTCCAGCCTTGGCCTCTCAAAGCATTGGGATTACAGGCATAAACCCAGTTGGCCCTAAATCTTAATTTATGAAAGAAATTCTAAAGCCAATAAATGAAGCAAGACTTTTTTAGTAATAAAGTGTTCAAATCAAATCCCAATTCAAGGCTGGGCAAGTTGGCTCATGTCTGTAATCCCAGCATTTTGAGAGGTCAAGGTGTTTGGATTACCTGAGTTTGGAAGTTTGAGACCAGCCTGGCCAACATGGTGAAACCCCATCTCTACTAAAAATACAAAAAATTAGCTCAGTGTGGTGGTGGGCACCTGTAATCCCAGCTATTTGGGGGGCTAAGGCAGGAGAGTCAGTTAAACCCGGGAGGCAGAGGTTGCAGTGAGCTGAGATCAAACCTGGGCAACAAGAGTGAAACTGTCTCAAAAAAAAAAAAAAAAAAAAATCCCAATTCAACCTTCTGTGAGTCTCCTTCTTTACTGTCTCAGAGAAAATATCTACATCACAGGGTTGAGTGAAAAACATGATGTAAAAAAGAAGGCTCTAGATATTCAATAAATGATGGTTACTATCAATTCATTCCAGTAAGTCTGGATGACAAAGAAATGGGCTCAAACCCTTTCTATTTAAAAATGTCATAAAGGTTTTTGTGCTCCTATCTATAACACATTATGACTCATCATGCAACAAGCATGTATTAGGCACTGATATGTCAAGTTCCATGACTGTAAAAAATATTGCAATAATAAGCAATGTGTATCTCAACCTTAAGGAGAATTTGGCTTCATGAGAAGGAAATAAGTATTGACAGGTTTAAGATAACTTCTGGCCCTTCTAGGTGTACACTGTCAAAATCAATTTCACTTCTCACACATTTCTAAAATTAATTAAAAATTTAATAAAAATTAATGAAAACTGAAAACTTTCAAAAATTATAGCTTGAAAAAGTGTTAATATTACACATTTTATTAGCATGAGAATAAGAGTTTCCAAATTATGTTAGTTTATCTAAAGTGATTTTTATACCCAGATAAAATTTTACCACTCCAGTTGTATGGATTCATTCATTCTATAAACTTCTTCAAGGGATTCTATTGTTAGTGATGCTTAAATGAGTAAGTACATTCAAATATTCAAGTTTTTATACCAAGTTCAGTTGAAATCGTTATTCAATTTTACTAAAATATTAGTGAAACTATTTCTTAAAATAAATACAGCCTATAAAGGAACTATGTTGTGTTAAGAAAGTTACAAATTTATTTGGAACTAAATTTGAGAGATTCTCTAATTTACAAAATTTGATTGGATCAATTAATAGCAGAGCAACGCTTTGAGGTTAGGAGAAATTTAATCCTTGTCTTCAAAGCCAAAAGGAGTTGGCAAATTCATGTAATAGTGTAAAATGGACAGCAACATATGTTTCTCATTGAGTCCTATTGGTCAATGAAAAGGTATTGATCTATGAAACATGAAAATATTCTAAAGTCTTGGCAGATAAAGATAAGTATTGATCACATTTTTAAGACATATGAATGAGGAGTCATAATCACCCACTATTGATATATACTGAGTTATTTATATAAAAGAATATCAGTTACAAAATTAAATCAATCCTCTCCCTAGACTGTTTATTTCCTTTCCATTCTGTGAAAAGCTTGGACATTCTTATAAACTGAATGTTAACAAAAGAAAAAAAGCAATACATTTTTTATATAACAGATGTTTAAACATTTATCTGTATTTTATTTTAAAACACCTTTATGAATCAATTTTGACCATTTTTATCTTTAAACTGTTGGTAAACCATACTGCTGTTTTTAATCGCAAATATAATTCATGTGATTTTTATGGAATGTGTGTATTTATAAATTTTTATAATTATTCTTGTTAAAACACTATGCTAAATAACATTTTTAATAATCTGTTCAGAAATTATGTTACAAGACAATATTTGGGTTTAATATTATAATTAAAAATGTAAAGTTAAAATAAATTATAATTTATTTTAACTTTACATTTTTAAGGAGACAGATTTACTTTAACGTGAACATTATTAGTTCAGGTTTCACATAAATTCTCATAACACTATTAAAAATTGTATTTCTGCCATATTTTTATTCCATTGACCAAGTTCTGATATAGTTAAATCTTCTATTGTCCCTAAATTTATCATTAAAACCCTGACATTCAGATGACAAGTGATTTGTAGTTTCTCATTGCCAATGACCAGGAGATTTAAAAAGATACCCATGAACTTCTCCATAAACAGTTTCTCTACAAATGCTCCACTTTGTAGAGATGCTACCAGTAATGAGACTGTGGTATTTTTGTTTTTGTTTCTGAAAGTACCTCTTCTCTCTCACACCAACTGGATACTAAAGTATTAATACAGCAATTGACCCACCTGTTAAGTAATTTTGAACATTTTCTAACTTAGAAAGAGGTTAGTACCCCATTCCCAGCAAAACTAATTTTTAAGTCACACATTATATGCCAAGTAATAATCCAATATACTTTAAATGAAGTTGAACATGCTTATAAATTTATACTCATTTTAGCTATTAGTTATGATACATACTCAGTCTTGCAATCTTCTAAAAATGAGTTCAGGTAAACCTGAAAAATCTCATAATAAATTTGCTGACTCAGATCTATCCTTGCAAAAACAAATTTTTGAAACACCTGAGGCATGGTGCTGTTGAATTAACATTAGGTTCCAATACTATCATTTTCTGTATTGTATTAAACAAACTTTGAGAAATTATCAGAGCCTTTATAAATATTTCCAATTATGATTTTTACAGATTTGAATAATGATTTGAAGCTAAATATTTTTCTTTTTCTTTATGAACTTGGTTCTGTTTGGTGTTGTCTGGTTTCACAAATAGAAAATAATATTTATCCCCCTTTAAGCTGTTGTGTAAAAACTATAAGAAAAAAGGTTATTTGATTCTTAGGAAAGTCACAAACAGCAATTGCCTATAGAGTGAGGTTGGAAGTGAAATCCATATGTAATACCTCTGTCAGCAAAGACTTACTGGAAGAGGGTTTATAATAAATATTCACATCTGCTTCTTTGGACACTCTAATCCATCCTAAGGATCTTTGCTGTGTCAGGCTTTGTTCTAGATGAAGAAGCCCAAGCCCAGTAGTTATAAAGGTTTACAAATAGGCTTTATTTATCATGGTTAGCTTTATTTTTATAACTTTTCTCTGTTTTAGAGGTATTCATGATGATTGGGGGTAAGATTTGTGATTAAATATTACACTATAGCTTTTATGGTGATATCATTCTAGAATTCTTATTATAAAATGGACCAATGCTATTTGCACAATACATCACTTACCTAAAATCTGTCAAGAAGGCATCACTGATAACAATGCTCTGCTGGTTGTGGAAAACATAATGGCTTAAAAGCCCAGGCTCTGGATTCAAAGTGCTGTGATTAAATGCTAGCTCCTTCTATACCTAGGGTGTCATCAGTTCACCTTTCTAAGCCTCTGTCTCTTCACCTACATAGAGGAGTTAATACTATTTATCATTAGACTATTATAAGGATCATATGGAATTATCCATATCAAGTACTAAATATGGTATCTATCACATTAAAAGAGTTTAATAAATTTTAAATATTATTACTGAAACAATAATATGCCTTCTAAGTATGATTAGTCCCATGGATAGTACTAATGTCATACTTATTTACACTAAGTACTGAGCTTACGCAAACACATTCTATTGCTTTTACTTACCTCCAAATCCCATGATAGTTTCTTACTAGATGTCCTTAATAAAAACATTAATTAAAATTGGATCCCTGATTTGTTTTCACTTTGAGGAAATGAGTCATTATGAAATATATGGTACAAAAATTATGCAAATATACTGTGCTGTATTTTTTTTTAGAAACAAAATTAACAAAATTTGAATTCTAAGCTATAGTAAAACCTCCCAAGTCCTTTTTAAATGGAAGTATTTATTTCCACTTCAGCTACAAAAAAAAAAAAAAATATTTGTTGAGTGCATGAGTATCACAATTTTTAAAGCAGGAATGTATATTATTAAGTTGCAAGTAATGACTAACAATTTAAAAAATAAGTTTAAAGAAGAATACAAATTTTAAAATATAAATTATTCATATAGATACAGATATATGTTTTCCATAAGTTTTTAAAGCTATGCCTTTTAAAACTTTTAAACATATAATTTATTTGAAAAAGAATGTTGCTTTGCATAGTTGCTTTCAAAATCATATCCTCAAAATGCTTTATTAGTCACAAATAAAAAAGAATAGTAGGACATTTGAGGAACTCTGCATATAAAGGAGAAAGAGCATTAGGCTTTATGTCCCAATTCAAAAATGTTATAATCTAATGATTGATGCGTCTTGATTTTGGCTCAATTTATTTCTTATACCTACAGGAGCTACTTTATATTTAATAACTGACATCTAACACAGAATGATAATTGAAAGAAAATAGAATGCTTCATTGCTTATAAATTGTAAACGCTTGAAATAAAACTTTGATTCATTCTCTTTCTCCTGTCTGTCTGTCTCTCTCAGGTCGAGTTTTAGCTCAGGCGAGTGGCAATGGTGTTATCCATTTGCTAGATCTTAAATCTGGGCAGATTCACAAATTGCTGGGCCACGAAAGAGAGGCGCACACGGTTGTGTTTTCTCACGACGGGGAGATTCTGTTTTCTGGAGGATCTGATGGCACAGTTCGAACGTGGTCTTGACCGTCAGCATATCCCGCTGCGGAGGGTATTCCCTTTAAGGCTTGAAAATGCCTCCTGTAGTCCCAAACCAGTAAATAACTGGTTAAATGTGCCAGCAGGTAACATTTACAGTTTGCTTTAAAACGTGCTTTGGACATATATTTTAGTGCTCAGACTGTTACTAATAAAAAAATAACTTTATGCTCACTCATTTGTGTCGGGGTCTTTTTTCTCTCTCGTTTTGATCAGAATTTAGAGACACGTCTTTGCTAGGGGTTTTGAAAGAAACAGCTTTACAATGACGCCTAATGACAGACTAGATGAATTACAGGAGATTGATTTTTAATGTTAGAGAACAAACTGCAGGAAAACCTGCTACTTTTTTTTTCTTTTAAAATCAGATCCAAGCTGCAGGAAGAACTGAAGTTTAATCATGCAGCACCGGGCAAGTCTTTCTGCTACCAAAGGGTCAAATAGAATCGACGAGCGTACGTTTTTACAGATTCTTTGACAATGATTATGCTTTATCTATTAATAATAATCAGGGACTGCAGATAGCTTAAATCTAAATGCAAGCCTTTTCCGGAACTTTCATCTCTGCAGCCCATCCAAGAATGCGTTAGGTATAATTACAATTTTTTAGAAAAAAAAATTTTTTATTTGTAATTTCAATGCAAATAAGTATCTCGCACATAGAATGCCTTTACCACTCCTGATGCACGCATCCGCTGTATAAAGTGCGACTGCTTGGAGAGCACTCTAGCCTCGTCTAAAGCAGCTCGGGGATTTCGACAGAGCTGGGCTCAGAAGCCAGTTGTTGGCGCTGTCCGTGGTGCTGAGGAATTCCCGGCTGCCGGCAGAATGAGCTCCAAATCAGCAATCTGCAAACTGCTCTCAGTGATGCAGAAACCCAGCTAAAGTTGCTCCTTTCCTTCACGTCCACAGTTAGTATGTTCCGGCGTGTAATAGGGGATTCAAGCAACATACTGTGAACGATGGTGATGGTACTGCCAGCGGAGTGGGCTTTAAGCTATAGCATGCTGTTGCTGTTTGTGATCCTCAGAGCCTAGCCAAATCACCTCTACTGCCGTAGCAAACACTGTGTAAGTGAACTCATGTGTGGAGGAGGCGTAATCAGCCGGGAAATTTCATAGAAGGATCTAAGAAAATGCTAAAAATAAGTTCAACATGATTCTGCTACTGGGGTCTGGATTTCTACAGGACCAGCATTGCTTCTTTCTTTGAATTCTGAAGACCAGTCCAAAGCAAATTTCTTATGTGTGTCTGCTGTGTTTCTTTCTGGAAGGGCGGGAGACTGCTTCTTTACTGTGTTTTGAAATGGGAGGTAGAGAGAATGGATTGCCTTTAATTCATGCCTAAAAATGTATTCTTTGGGTAATTAAAGAAGAACTGCTTTCCTAAAACATACCTGACCTTTTAGTTCATTTTGGGCTGTGACCCCTACCTCCACCATTAACCTCCAGAGTGATTAGGTAAGTGTATCTTACGACATGAGTTATGTTTGTTTTCTCAAAGAAATAGATGCAGTCATTTTAAATCATATGTAGCAATATGGGGAGGGGGGGAAAGTTAAGATGGGAAGTGATCCTCAGTTTAGCAATGTTTGCTTTCTTATTAAACATCTTCAGATACACATTATATTTGATTTCTCCAATGTTTCTTCTCTTAAATAAATAGTGTCTTAAATTGTAGTAGGGCAGCTCAATTATGAAGAAGCCTTTTAAAAAATAGCCTAAGAACTTTGTTTTATTGAAAATAAAAGCTTGTTTTTTACCATGCAGATTTTAAGATATATTTCACATAATAAAAACATATTTAATGTTTATATGAAGTAGATATTACATTCCTATTTTACCTCTAAGTTTACATTTACCATAACCTAACACATTAATGCCTACCTGTGGCTTACAAAGAGATCATTTTCTGTCTATGTCCCTTTGAAGCAGAATCGTATGTGTATTTTATATGGCTTATCTTGCATGTATTGACAGATACTGCTAGAATATTATAAGGAAGCACAGCAGCTTTCTTTTCCTCTAAGGTAAACTTTGTAAATATGTGATGTACAAATGCTTGCTTTAATTAGTAAATTATATTTATGCTTTTTCAGAAGCTTCTGTTATGTTTGTTATATCTGTAGTAATTTGAGAGGAAAAAAATGCTTTGTCAAAGGGAGCTTCCAGATTCTCAAGTAGAATTATAGGTTTGCATTTTCTTGTTCTGTCATGACTCATTATTTTTGACATATTTTATAAGAAATCATCTGCTTTATTATTGCCTACTCAAAGGGAATTCTAATATCAGAGGATATCAGAGGAATTCTAATATCAGCTTTCTCTGAAAAGAGAGCATACTACCTTCCATTTTACTATTACTAGAATTTGCATATTTACCTTAAAATGCAAATATAATATGTTTATGAAGTTTCCTAATATCACTTTATAGTATTTTAAATTATCATCTGTATATGTTAAAGTGAAAAGAGATGGTTTTCATTGCTCTTAATATAATCTGAAGATGAACCAATAGATAACATTTATAACTGACCTGAAAATGTCCTATATACAATCTTAGTAACATTGGCATGAAGCCAATCACATTTAAATAAATGAATAAGCTATTTGACAACAATTTTTCTTATTTATTACTCCCTAAAGTCACAGTTTTCCCAGAGCCTCTGTGTGAGCTAGTCATTCTAAATATTTAAATAAGAGCCCACTCCCAACACTTCACATCAAGTACCAGTACTAAGTGGTATTTACAAGAGTCAGTGTCACGAAATTAATAAGTCATATTTTCTATGAATCGTTAATAATTACTGTTTTAAGCAACTTCCATAAAGTTTTAAGCTGACATCTTTGTGCAAATGGCCTACAAGCAAATATTTTTGACATTTCAAGAGTTATGTTTTCAAGAACTCAAAAATTGTAACTATATTATATTGAAATGTTTAAATAATACTATGTATCCACTAGATTTAAGTTACTGTGAAATAAATGTATAGATAGATCTCTCCTGTCCACAAGGAGCTTACTTCCTATGTAAAATAATGTGGACAAGAATACAAATACATTTGTTTTTAACAATTTCTTTTAAGCACATAGAATTCTCTTGTATTATTTTATCTCTATTTCAAATTTTCTCTTGTATTATTTTATCTCATTATTTCAAGTTTTTTTTCTCTTGATCGCTATGGAATAGTCATGCTGTTTTTGTTATTAACAATATTTCAAAAATCCAGATTCATGTTCACTGAAATAGGCAACTGATGTTGATACCATCGTTGTTCTCCCATTATGGGCATAAATAAAAAACCCTTTATAGTAGCTTCATCCTAATTACAATTTACATTCAACTGCTGGTTTATTCCTTTCATTTTAGAATTTGATTTTTTTTCACTAATCTCTTGAGTTGATACAGATGATTACAATATATGTTCCATCACTGACTAGTCCAGTTTAAAGAATAACAGAAAATGTGAGTTCAAATATTCTTGAGCTATTTGTAAGTTACTCCTTGTAATCACCTTTTAGGGCTCAGTAAAACCATTTCTTTGCAATCTTGACAAAGCCAGATGTTTGAAATTCAGAAGGAAAATTCAAGCTGAAGTTTCCCATATAAAATAATCCAAAAGGACAAATTTTAATGCATATATTGCCAAGTATCAACTCTCTAAACTTCACAGTAAGGCATAGATAGTTGCATGAACTTAGTCTATTTGAAGTCTTAGTGTCTTCCAATTGATCCCAAACAGTTTAGGGGCATGGACTTAAATGAATCTATCTTCACTTTATATATGTCAAATTATTTTTTTTAAACATTTATTTTCAGCCTACCCCTCTTGTATTCTCATGGAAGAAGCTGAGTATATTTAATATTAGGAGCACATCCAGAAGTCTTTGAAGAGGGGGATGGCTCTTCATATTCATGAAGCTTACATACTTCTGTTGGTAATCCCTGGATTGGTCACATCTGCTGCTATCAGTCATGAAGACTATCCTGCTGATGAAGGTGACCAGATCTCCAGTAATGACAATCTGATCTTTGATGACTATCGAGGGAAAGGGTGTGTCGATGACAGCGGCTTTGTATACAAGTTGGGAGAACGATTTTTCCCCGGGCATTCCAACTGTCCATGTGTCTGTGCTTTAGATGGACCTGTTTGCGACCAACCAGAATGCCCTAAAATTCACCCAAAATGTACTAAAGTGGAACACAATGGATGCTGTCCTGAGTGCAAAGAAGTAAAAAACTTCTGTGAATATCACGGGAAAAATTACAAAATCTTGGAGGAATTTAAGGTATGCGTTACCCTCCGTATTTATTGAATATTAACTTTTCATACCACGTGCTTAGTAAATTGCTACATTAAAGCCAGAGTTGGAAAAATGTACTTTTTAATTTCCCTTTAAATTACAGCAATTCAATTCTAATTAGCATAAGTAGTACCATGGTCAACAAATGGCCAGGTGGTTTGTTGATCATATTTGTTAAGTTTCACAATAACCTTTTTTTTCCCAGAAGTATTTGGGGTATGCCTAACACCTTTTATTTTTGCCCTTAAAATTTCTTCTCTATTATTACAAAATATGTTTTTTTAGGGAAACAATTTTGTGTATAGTATATGTGTCTCTTAAATTAATTTTTAAATTGTGTTAGTTTTGTGTGTGTGTTGCTTATTAGCCTAATTTGAAGTTATTTAACAATACAGTCTAGAATTATGTGTTTATTGTGTGGAAAAGCTAAAGCTACAGAGACACACTTCTTAGCTGTGGTCTTCATATTAGGAAAATGCACTTGGCCTACTTGTTGTCAAGTAAGATCCTCATTCTGTTCTCTGCCCGCAAGATTTTTTACTTACCGGATTCCACAGAGAACTGAATTTTTATCACAATCCATGTAAGAGTAGTAAAAAACACTGTAATCTTTTTCAGCCTATATGGTATATTTTCGTTTCTCTTATGCTTGTGTCATCTTTTCAAAGTAGCTTGGAGTTCATTTTTATCTCTTACTGGACTTTCTTTTCTCCAATGGCTAGTTTTAATCGGGATATCCTATAAGCCTGATCTGAACCCTGAAGGTGTAAATACATGAAAAATGTCCATCTTAAATGTAATGGCAGTTTGTGCCTTGGAGTGTCTGTCATACTGATGGCTTCATATAAAATGTTCCCATTTCATCTAACC